GAGGAGGCTCGAAGAGCTTAGGAGCAGGAGGGAGGGAGGAGGATAAGGATGACGATGAGGATGAGCATGATGATAATGCTGATGCTGATGATGCTGCTGCTGAGGATGATGCTGCTGATGATGAACATGAAGATGGTGCTGCTGATGCTGATGATGAAGATGACGATGATGCTGATGCTGATTAGCATGATGATGCTGATGATGCTGCTGATGATGATTACGACTACCATATTTATGATATTGATGATGATGCTTCTGCTGATGCTGATGCTGAGGCTGATGATGATGAAGATGATGGTGGAGGTGTTTTTGATGGTGATACTGATGATACTGATGATGCTGCTGATGATGATGGCGATGTTTATGATGATGATGATGCTGATGCTGATGCTGATGCTGATGATGCTGCTGATGATGCTGATGATGATGCTGATGCTGATGATGCTGACGATGCTGATGATGCTGATGATGCTGTTGATGCTGATACTGATGCTGGTGAGTGTGATGGTGATGGTAATGGTAAGGCTGATGCTGATGCTGATGCTGACATTGATGATGAAGGTGATAGTGTGATACTGCTGATGTCGCTGATGCTGATGATGATCATGATGATGATGATCATGACGATGATGTTCATTATGTTGGTGATGATGATGATTATAACGATGCTGCTGTTGTTGATGATGATGATGATGGTGATACTGGTGCTGGTGTTGATGCTGATGCTGATGTTGATTATGATGCGGATGATGATGAATACTATGATGATGGCGATGATGATGATGATGATGATGCTGATGATGATGATGATGATGATGATGATGATGCTGATGATGATGATGATGATGATGATGCTGATGATGGTGATGATGATGATGATGGTGATGATGATGACGATGATGATGGTGATGATGATGATGATGATGATGATGATGATGATGATGATGATGAGGAGGAGGAGGAGGAGGAGGAGGAGGAGGAGGAGGAGGACCATGCGGAGGATGATGAGGATAATGAGAAATAGGAGGAGGGGGAGGAGGAGGAGGAGGAGGAGGAGGAGGAGGAGGAGGAGGAGGAGGAGGAGGAGGAGGGGGAGGATGAGGAGTTGGAGAAGGCGGAGGAGGAGAAGGAGGAGGAGGAGAAAGAGGAGGAGGGGGAGGAGGAGGAGGAGGGAGGAGGAGGGGGACGAGGAGGATGGAAGGACCCGAAGGGAAAGTGCACAGCACCAAAAACGAAACGACAGGAATTACTGGCCTACAGAGGCCTCCTTCAAACGAATTCTCTCAACCAGGGCAGCCATGCGCTGCTCATATGAGGGAACTCCTGAGGCTGAGAACGACCTGGACACCTCCGTCGAGTCAGGGACCGCATTGGACTCCGAGGGGGCCAACATCTCAACCGTGGGATACCGAGGGAGGAAGACGCTACGACCGAGGAGGGCTCTGATCGTACGGTTCGGTGGCCTCCCTTGGGAATAGCGGTTTATAACCTCCTGACCTTTCTTGGTGGGGTGTTGTCCAGGCAAAATACACGGCTGAGCAAGCTTTAGGGCTCTACCCTGGGACCACCCCCCCACATCTTAAACAAATCCAAAATTGCTTCTCAAGGACCTTCTGCCCAGCACCACTCGACGCTCGAGCCGACAGCCCAGCCGCGACGACGAGATGCCCCTTTGGGATCCTTGAGGAGCGGTCTGATGTTTGGGGGGGACCCCTTTACAGCCATTGAGGGGAAGCTCCGTTCGGTCCTCACCCCCTAGACTGCAACACGTCGAAAATCTGAGGCCTGCAGGTCCGTCGACCCAAACATGCCATTCTTGTTGCACTCGATGTGTCCGTCGCCTGCGGCGGTGGACGTCGGTGTTCCTATTCCACCTAGGCATGACCTCAAATAACGGAAGAACGGCAGCAGCGAGCTTACAGAAGTGGGCAGCGCGTTCCACGGCCACCTCTAATTCTTGCAGGAAGGATGGGTCGGCAGACGGGTGAGCTTGGACGGCCTCTTTCGCATGGTGGTCAACGATGCGATTGGCCTCATCAGATTCTCGCTCATTCTGTTCCAACGAGTCAATCAAATCCTGAGATCGATGCGCCTTGACATGCCGCACCTCCTGTATGAACGATGTGCCTTCAAGCGTGCGGGCAAAGTTCCTTATCCCTGCAACCTTGCTGCGTGCTGAAAGCTGGTGTGCCAACTCTTTTTGCGCGAGCTTTATCGCAGACATGCAATCGACGCCCAGCTGAGCTGGTCTATTTGCCACCTGGCCGCAGAGCGCCACACCTACATGCTCAGACATTGCAGGTGTCTGAGGAAAACTTCCGTGGACGATTCCACGCATCACGCACATTGGAACAGGATCAGTCCCGCTCGGTGGGAGCACCGCCATCGCCCATGCCGCTCGCTGGAGCGCACGTAGGGGGGGCTTCGAGCAGGAGGGACGAGGAGGAGGAGGAGGAGGAGGAGGAGGAGGAGGGAGGCGGAAGAGGAGGATGATGAGGAG